GGAAGCGCGGAAGGCGAGGCCAGGCGCCCCGCCGCCCCGTCCCTCCCCCGGCCGCCTGCACCACCGGTGCTGGTCCTCTGACCCGGTTCTGGTCTCTCAGTTACAAAGGTCTGGTGGCTGAAGCGCTGCGTCAGCTGGTGGGGGAGGAGAACTACAAACAGGACCAGGTTCTGGCTCCAGGATATTACACAGGTACTGTTCTCTGCACGACTCGTGAGTTCACAGTACCGATGAGGAGCGCCCCCGGTGGTACACTGCAGTCCTGATGATGTCACCCTCTCACCTTCAGACTTCCTGCTCTGGCTGGACACTTCTAATCGGGTTCTTCCCATCAGGCCCAGTTCCGGGGACGTCGTTCCTTCTCCGGCACCGGCCGACGGAACCGTGGCTGCGTTGACCTCAGAGTTCCGGCACTTCTCCCCGTTTGCAGAGGATGAACCCAGACGGCCCTGTCCTGTCGCTGAGACCGTGGGGGGGGCCATAGAACCCCTCCCCTTTTTGCCTCATCACATTTGTAGCTCAACAGTACCGTCTGGATCGTCTCGGCCCGGTGCCAACGGCGCTCACCTGGATTACGGTCAGTACTACATCCCGGCCACGCAGTTCTACCCGGGTTTGGCCAAAGAGCACTCGCTGGAGAGTCAAGACAGCTCCACCCTCAGCAGCCCCCCCTCTGAAGGCCTTGCCCCACCGCCATCTTCGGGAACCGGGCCCGCCGCGGCACCAGACTCTCTGTTCCAGTTTTCCATCGGGAAAATCTTGGGGGACGAAGGACATTCAGGGGCACAAGAGGTGGGGGGCTCGGACTGCGCTCTCGCAGGATTTTACGAAACAGTGGCTTGTCCTGAAGGGTCGAGCGTTGACAGAGGTACCGAGTCACCGAAGGCCCAACCCCCGGAACCGCCAGAGCCTGATCCGGTGCCATTGGACCAAAGAGCAGTCAGGAAGTAAGTCACAGTCAGGTGGTCACACGGTGATGTCACAGGTCACCGGTCTGAAACCTTCATGTCTCGCCAGGGTCGTTGTGTCCGTCAACGACAAGTGGCACTACTGCCACAACTCAGACGTACTGGTCGGGTCCCGAGCAATGAGAGATCGACACCTGAGGCTGCTGGGATACATCGTCCTCCAGGTGAGAGTGTAAGGCTTCAGAGCAGCGCAACTGTTTGATGCTAGGCTAACAGGCTAATGTGTTGTTTTATATGAAGCTAACACGCTAACCCAGCGGCACCACAGACCTTGACCCTTTAGCCTGGTACCAAATGAGTTAGGGCCTCGTTCCAGCACTGGGGGATCAACCCACGTGTTGAACCACGTCCTGATGCTAAGCCACCAGGTAACAGATGTCTTCTCTTTAGCTTCCATATCAGGACCTGGAGAAACTTAACGGCATCGAGGAAGTCAAGTCCTATCTGCAGGAAAAGCTCATGGAGGTGACCATGCTGCGGTGACACCAGGCGTCCAGCAGGGGGCCAGGTCAAGACTGATGGTTTATTTTGTTTGGTCAGGGTGGGTGTGGGATTACTGTGCATGTGTTGACTGTGGTAGAGGATGCTGGGAAGTGTGATGTTACTCTGGTGATAGTTGCCAAAGGCCAGGGGTCAAAAGTCAAATTATTTATTTGTGTTTGGAAAAAAATCTGTTTATTAAACGAATCTTTAAAAATAGTAAGTGTTAAAAGTATGAAATTAAAGTCAGAACAGACCAAATCAAGTTTGGTGCTTGTTAATAAATATCTCTCACCCCCCCCCGTCCCCCCCGTGCCCCTCCCCTCACCACCCACCTCGATCTGGGCTCTGACCCACACTAACACTCAAGTGACATCACTCAGACTCTGCCCGTTCTAGGTGAGAAAAGTGCATTTATTTGTCAATCGTTACTGTGGGGCTGATTGTAGGCGCAATTATGGCTCCACCTACAGTGGTGACTAATGACAATGGCTCCTCCCCCTCTGCCCGCCCACCGATGCCCACAGCCCACCGCTAACCTTCTCATAAAAACACACTCATAAAAAAGTAACAGATTTCTCCTCTGCCCTGTGACATCACTGCCTCCTCATTGGTTCTGGCTGGTTGATTGAAACACGGAGGCTGAGCCTGCGACGAAGGCAGAGGGGCGGAGCTAGTCGGAGTCGGACTCGCTTGATTCTTCTGATGACGTCTGATCTTCGTCTTCATTCTGCGAAAAAAACAACCAACCCTGATGAGTGGGTGTGGTCGGGGCTGAGATTCATCAAAAACATTTTCTAACAAACCTCGTCGTCTTCGCTGTCGGTAGATGCCGACGTCTCGTCGTCGTCGTCGTCAGAGTTGGACGAGTCGCTCTTTTCGTCTTCGTCTGTGTCCATCATGTCCTGCTG